TTTACATAGTTGGGTTTTACTTACAGCAGCTTTGTGCCCCTCCCCCCTCCCCCCTCCCCCCTCCTTTAATCAGACACCAAAGGGACAGAACCAAGTGTCCACTTTACAGAGCTGTCTGCTTTAATTACTGATGTAAAGTAATATGTATAAAGTTAGATGTCTTTAAGCTATATATGTGCAAGAGAGAGAATTGTTTTGTCCATTTGCACATGGCTAAAAGTTTGTGTAACAACTCCCAACAACATGCAACAACATTGCAACAACATGCAACAGGGTGTGCCAATGGACGCAACATGTAACATTCAACAATGTTGAGAGCTGTTGGCCGACAATGTTGCATCCATTTGCACGCGGCTTTAGGATGAAAAGACCTTATAGAGGTGTTTGCATGGAGGATTTTGATCATATTTTAGGTGATAATTTTGTAATAATATTGATAAAGGGAAATGTTGATAAGCCTATTTTTTTTTTGTTTACATCAGGCAAACTAAGTGATTTGCAACTGGAAGGAGTTTTGTATGCTGTAAGTATAATTATCACCTTATTAGTATCAAGAACTCTGTCAACATTTGTCGGCTTTTGTATTGCTCTTTCTTCTGTCCACATAAAGCATTTAAAATATTTGGGAAAGATGGATTTCCAGCTAAAAATAAATTCATTACAAAAAGGCCCTTCCAGCTGCTGTGGATATGTGGTAGCAGAGAGTGTGTTATTGCACAGTCATGGTCTTTAGTAATAAAATCAAGTTAAACAGCATGAAAAATTCATTTTATAAACTGCTGTTAATTTTTTTAATAGTGTCAAAGACATCAGATGGTCCTTGCCAATGGACAGAGAGCTGGATTCTTTATAGGGGATGGTGCTGGGGTTGGAAAAGGAAGACAAGTGAGTACATTTTGTTTTTGTACAATTTCATGCTGTTAAGTCGATGAACTGTTACTTTGTTTATTTAGACAAAAATCAAGAACGATGGCCATTTTCACTGAGGTGCAAATTTACCTCATTTTCATGCTTGCAAAAGCACTTGCCTCGTTTTCATTTTAAGGTGACTCGACCCAGTTTTTTGGGGAGGTACCATCCTTACTTTGAAGCTCTCTGGTATCCCCTCCTTTACTTTTATCGTAAGTCTAACACATAGAATGGATAACATATAGATCAATCTACAATAATTATAACATAAAATTTTTGGCGATCGGAGTAAATGTCACGTGGTTATAATGCCACACCCCTTTGAGGTCTGAGTCGAAAATCTGCTGTTGCCGGCATTTTTTCGTGAAAATCTCTCGGCTACACATAGTGCGCATTAGTGCCTTGCGCTGAACAGAGTTTCACCAAAATCGCAAAGACCCAATTCGAGAAATTCAGCGGTTTCCAAATTTAGGTCATAATTTATGTGAAAATGATAAGCAAACTTTACACGATTGTATCTAATAAACTATGAGATTCATCCCTTTATTTTGGGCATCGTTATAAGAGATGGGTCCTTGCAAGTCAGCAAAATGCTTTAGGGCCTTGTAAATGCGCACGATTTTGAGCAAAGCAAACATATAGAAATTATAGTTTTCACTATTTGTTGACATTTGTCAGCGTTTAAGAGTCCTTCTCACGAAAAAAGCATTTTCTTAAAAATTCGTAGTTTTTTTTCTTTCAAATTTTTTCAGGGCCACAATTGATTAACTAACTACCCGGACTCTGAATTTCATGGTCCTTGAAAAACTGTGACATTATCTTCTATAAGCGCAAACTTGAGTAAACATTGAAGATTTTTAGCGTTTTGGCTGAGTTTGTGCTTTGGGAGTTGTCTATTGTTTCTAGTCTGTCATTATACAGTATTCTTGTTCAGCATGCATGCAATGACCACGCTTGGGTGACTTCCGAATGCTCACTGCCAAACCTTGAATATAGAACTGTTTACTTTAAGCCCATTAAATTTGTAGTCAAGATTACACTCCAGTTGTTTTCTACTGTAGATTGCTGGCATTGTGTTGGACAATTTTGCACGTGGAAGATCCAGACATACATGGTTTAGTATTTCAGCTGACCTACGATTAGATGCCCAAAGGTGTGTTCAGATTATTTTTTAGCCAAAGTCTGATTATGTATTCAATGGAATTTTGACCTTTTAAGTCAATGATTTTAACCCATTCACTCCTAGGAATTTTTCCAAAAATACCTTTTAAAAAAGTGTACTCTATGACTTATTGGCAAGGTAGGTTTTATTACAGATTAGAAGTCATAAACAGGATTTTCTTTTTCAAAATCATCTTCTGGTCCCTCAGTCGATCCTACAGGATGCAGGCAGTAAATTATTTTGCATCTTTGGAGATCTGATGCATCAGGGGCACAGGATGCGCAGGCAGGGGTAACAAAATCACTGCAGCATTAAGTTCATAATTCCACATTTTTTTGGCACTTTTACATGTAACCCATTCACCCACTAGACCAAAATGGTCCAGGGGTAATATTGGAAGGAATATTCAGAAGCATTTCCACACCAATGATCCAATAAAATCGATAAAATCGGCTTTGGATTTGGATTCACTGGTTCTGGACTGTGACAGAGTTTTCATGATGTGAATCCCTATAGCAGTTTGTTACAAAATCAGGGATTCTGGTAATTGCTCTCTCTCTCTCTCTCTCTGTATAGCTGTAAAATACTATAACTTTAATAACCCAAGAAACTGACAAATTTCTGATTGTTTTTCATTTGTCAGAGATTTACATGACATTGGTTGTTTTGTCAAAGTGATAGACGGTTGTCAGCAGCTGGATAAAGAAACCAGGTACATGAACTCGAATACCACGGGTACATTATTTAGAGTGGGGCAAGAAGGCCATGCCCTCCCCTGCCTTTTTGTCTAAAATCTTGTTAAATTTCAGAAAAAATTCTCTCAACGTCTGTCTTTCAGAATCTCAATTTTTGGACAAAATGCTCTCAGAGTTCTCTCTGTTTTGGAATTTTTTAAATCTTTCTTGAATACTACAAGTTATCTACACTGGCTGGTGTCCGTTGTTATCATTATGTAACACAATATAATTATTCTTGGACAAGGTCCATTAATTCCTTTTCTTAATAATTATTTTCTAAGAGTTCTTTTTCAAACCAATCTGTGCATGCAAGTTGCATTAATTTTCATTTTCCTTCAATTCAGGTGTATTTTTCCCCAAGTGATAATCTGATCCAAAATCTTTCCAAGCCAACTATTGCTTCCTACAGTGTAAAAGAAAGGAGAAGTCACACTGCCATAGAAGCAAAATTTCTGGGTCTCAACAAACTGTGGTCCTGCCAATATGGTAGGAAAAAAGAACAACGAAAAATTTTTGTGCATTATTGCACTTAGGAGTGAAAGGGTCGCTGGTATTTTCCTTCCATCATTGGACAATACAAATGGCCGTCCATCTCTGTCAAGGAAGATTATTGATCCAGAAATCTTGCTTCCACGGTAACATGACATCACACATCTCTCTATAGAAGCAATATTCTGTGATTTATTTGACAGTAATAATAGATCAGTAGGAATTTTAAAACAAATCCAATAACATTGACATTATTTTGTTTTACAGAGTATTTGGCTTACCTGCTGATTTTAAAGAGGGTGTTGTCTTCAGTACATACGCAACACTGGTGTCATCTGTTCAAAAAGGTGAGCATGCAGTATGAATGTCATCTATCACTAGCAATAGACAAAGTTCCTCTTTTTGTTGATCTGTTTTATTATCTTTTTGACAGGTGCTAATCGTCAGAGTAGATTGCAACAGCTCATAGACTGGTGTGGTGGTGAGCAGTTTAATGGATGCCTCATATTTGACGAGTGTCATAAAGCAAAGCATTTTGTTCCTGTAAGTAATTTACAGTAGTTTAGCCCTTATTCTTTCGCATTCATAACTGCAACAAATACATGTAAATACCTTATTTAGGGCAAAAAGCATGGTTTGTTAGAAACTGCCACTATCTGATCATCATTATTCAATTTATGTTTTGTATGAAGTGGATGAGAGGACAACAGTTTGTGTTCCCTTTACATTACACACAGTTCACATAAAGCATGACTGCGCACTGGGTTTCTTGAGAATGGAATTGCTCTTGTTACACTCATTAATGAATGCACAACCATTACACTTTCCACACAACTGAAATTCACTGGCCAGTGATGCATATTGACACCAGACACAGATGTCATGGATTCAACTAAGTACCCTGCTCACTGTAGCTTATTTCATTTTAGGGCAAAGAAGAATCCAGCACAAAAGTTGCTCTTGCTGTCACAACAATACAAAGGTATGATAAAGTTATTCAACTTCATTTTTGAATATCAATTGTTACAATGTAGCATGTAATTATTACACTCTAATGTAATAATTAAAGTGCTAATAATTTTACAATTTGAAAGAAGCAGGGAGCAGGAATGGAGCAGTTGTGATCGAGCACTTGCCTCCCACTTGTGCAGCTCGAGTTCAATTTCCAGAGTTGACTCTAGAAACGTTGGGAGGGGAGGTGTGACAAGTGAGCTAATAGGGAGCTTAAGCAGCGACGTTTTTGAGCGACGCACGTCAACCGGAAGTGGCCTTTTTTTCATTTTTTGACGGTGGTTTTGCGCAAATTTTCAGTCAAATCGAATCTATAAAAGTAAAGAAGCTAAGGAATACAAATTTTATATCATCAAGGCATGTTAAGAGGGAAAATACCTCACTTCCGGTTGACGTGCGTCGCTCAAAAACGTCGCTGCTTAAGCTCCCTAATTAAAGTAACTGTACGCGTCTGCTCAAACTTAAAAACGAGCTGAAAATCGGTTGTTTTTACAAATAAAGTCGGGAAGAATTCTCGATATTTTGCAGGTGTTTTTAGTAAAACAATTATTTCCGATATGAGATGATTATAGCCAACTCATATCCAACACGCACTTGTGGAATAATTGTTAAATATACCTGACCTCCTTAGCGTCTCTACAGAGTTCCCCCCCCCCTTCCCCTACAGTAACTGCTGTGCCCAAATTTTCTCTTTTTTACAGATTTATTCTTTTTTCACTTCATAGAATGCTACCCAAAGCTCGTGTTGTGTACTGTAGTACAACTGGTGTGACAGATGTAAAAAATATGGTAGGTGTAGAGTAAAGTATTATTTTATATAATTGACAATAACGTGATTTTGACTGAGTGTCAGGAAACAGCATGTTACTATTAAAAGGTATCCAACTTTGCTTTGCTAGTTTTTCGCAAACAATGCACTAAGTAAAGGCTGGCATGTACCTTTTAAAAGTACGCTGTACGCCGTTAGCATCTTATGTGATACCACTGTACAAAGTTAAAACTTTAAAGTGACACTTGATCTTGCGACTTGATCTTGTACCTGGGAACAAAGATTTTTTAAGGCGAAATACGTCGGTTGCATCTAAGCGTGGACACGAGACAAAAAAAAAATGTTCTAATAGGGTGCCAGATATGACGTGTTTTTCCGCCAAACATTTGAAGTTTGACAGCCGTTAAAGCAAACTGTCAAGCCAAAGGTAAGTTTGTAGCCAATTAGAACAAGTTTTTTCCTCAGGTGTACACGCTTAGATGCAACCGACAGTAATTATGATCGTCGGGATGAGTGTACTGAACAGGACTGTTGTTTACAGTGATTAACGTTTTGACAGGTCTTCAGGCCCTATCCACATGTATCGGGATAGCTTTGAAAACGAAGACTTTTTTCTCCATTCTTGCCTCCATCCTCACATAAACGGCCTTTTCAAAAAGACCCAGAGGGGAGATTTTTTAAAACGCCGGCTTCTCGTTTAAAGTGGGCTGTCGAAAACGGAGATTTGTGAACACGATTATGTCATGCACCATATACTACTAGTATTACGCATGCTCTGTAAGGGATGCTATCGTCTTTCCATCGTTTTAGGGTTTTCATGTCGACAGGCGAAAACGATTCAAATACGATTCATGAAGACGCCTATTTTTTTTTTTTGAAAATCGTGGAAAAAATCCCCATTTTCGAAAATATCCGGATACGTGTGGACAGGGTGTCAGGGTCAAAGTCAGTTGTATCACTCAGTTGATAGTATTAAACTCTGGTTCAAGGTACATGATTTCTAGGTACTCAGTAGAAGAGCACAAAGACTCTTGTTGCATGAAGTTTTTAAACCCTACAATAATTGCTGACAGATTATTACAGCAACCATGTCGTTTCTGACAATGTTCCCATTCAGTCCAATAGTCAATCAATACAGTACACTGATACAGTGATTTGATTATTTTCAGGCATTTATGGAGAGACTTGGTTTATGGGGAGACGGAACAGCGTTTAAATCGTTTGATTCTTTTCTAGCCAGCATAACTAAGAGAGGTCTTGGTAAGTGGCATAGTTTTCAGCCTAGACTACGAACAGTTTCTCTTTTTTCTTAGTCCGTCGTGCAAAACACCGAGACACGCAGATGACCACGCGCAACACTCTCTCGCGCGCGTACACTCCCCTCACTAAATCTGAAGAAAAGGAGAGGCTGCTGGCTGTCTATTTTGAGCCCCAATGATCCACATACAAATTCTCCCGACTGATCCCCTTACCTTTCCTTAAAGAATTAGTTGAGAGATTTTAGTGATTATTTTATGAATTCTCTAAACTTTTTCTTGTAATGATTTATGGATATTTTTAGGAGAAAATTGATGTTAATCACGTTTGGTACTCAATGGGATAAAGGGGTTATATCATGATGACTTCCATATTCTTGTCAAAGTTGAGCTGAAATTGTAACTAAGTATTCTCAGTCACTTTTTTCCATACTTGGAACTCTAAAAAGAAAGCTATCAAATGATTCGATCTAAGCCAAGGGGAAGTAACGCATGTTCGTTTCTGGTCATTTTTCGAAGAACTCCTGCCTGCTGTACCATGCTTAGCTGTGATAGGAGCGTAAAAGATCTTAAGCGGCAGCGCTTCCTTGGACCGGTTCTGGCAAATTACTCGAAACCTTAACCAAATATATGGGTACACCACCTGTACTGTAACCGTGGAGAGACGGCTAGCTAGGCTATTGGCTAGAACGGTGATGCGCCATGGCGATGCTATTACCACGTCTCGGAAATCATGGTCGACTTTTCTATAGCCTGTCCCAGGCTTTGAAATATTGGATTGTGGTGCGAAGTTAGAGAACGGGAAAAAAATAAGGAGGAAGAGGGGGAGAGGGAGAGAGAGGAAGGAATTTCGCCCTCATTCCCAACCCCACCCCTAGCTGTTTTTCCTGCTCACATCTCCTTGCGTCGCCCTCATAATCTGAACTCCTGGAACAGGCTACTTTTTATGTAACGTGGCAAACACTTTCGCTTTCACTTCTCCATCGGCAGAACGATGTATTTTAAGGTCACTAATATTTAAAATCTTTTCTAGGTGCTTCTGAAATGTTAGCTATGGAAATGAAGGCATCAGGGATGTACGTTTCTAGAGGTCTTAGTTTCAGACAGGCTGAGGTAATGCATAATTTTAGAAATGGCATCGTAATTTTGTGTTGTAACCAGAAGTTTTTCTAACATACTGAAATATAAGGCTTTTTTTTGCAATGCTTATTTCTTCTCTTCTGTTCCTTTTTTGTTAACAAACTTTGATAATGCTTTTTTGTCGCATTTCTGCAGTTTGTTAATGTTGAGGCGACACTGACTGCGGAACAGAGGAAGGTTTATGACACTGCAGTTCACGTTTGGTACGTATGGCAATGTAAAAAGGTTAAATCTTCGTATTAACTGATTTAAGTAGACCACAACTTAAGATGGAATCATTCAGTGGTTTGTTGTACCAGGGCTCCGGGATTAACTTATGTGATTTCGTAGAAATTGCACTCAAAACTTGTGCGTTTGTTTGAGTCAAAGCAAAAGCAAAACAACAATCACAGTCGGTATTCTGAGAAGTAACGGTTGTGTGTATGTTTCACAATCATAGTGTGAATATGTTTCAGCTTTTTTTCTTTTTCTCTTTAAGGAGCGAGTTAAAGAAGTCATTAGAATTTGCCATTGGTCGCACCACCTCTTCTACACCAAGGGTGTGGTCAGTCTTTTGGTCCTGTCATCAGCGGTTCTTTAAACAGCTCTGGTGAGTATTTAATCCCGTCTCTGGTCTTTTAGGGGCGGATATTACAACAAAGATTGAACGTTATTTAACAAAACACTGTTCCAACGCTCACACCTCAGTATCGTTTGCTGTTCATATCAACAAGAAGACGACAACCCAAATTAGAAAACCATTTATCTACTTGAAATAAGTACCCTACCGACGGATTAGGAAACCCTCTTCTTGTTAGGCGTCGTTTAAATAGCCGACCGTAAGATTCACCTTAACGTTATTTCCGTCTTGTTTCCAGTAATGTTGTGCTCGATGCTAGTTCGTTGGCATAAGGCAGAGTCGATATTGTCTCCAATTACAGTGTGGTACTGTTTGCAGACGCTATCGCCTTTTTATTGGATGATAGGGACCTTAAGGCCCAGTTCAGACGTCGTGCTTCTGCCGTGCCGAACTTAATTCTAATTCGGTTCGATTGTAGCACGGCAGGAAAACAACTTTGATTCAAACGTCGTGCCAGAGTCGAACCAAATTCAGGATTTACTGATGCCTCGTAACAATTCTCCTCCTAACTCCCCCTGGGAACGCAATCTCGCCAAAATACATTAATGTAATTTATGAATTTTGCTTAGCGAGGCAGAAGCACGACGTTTGAATCGCTGCCGCGCTAGAGCCGTGTAGCACGGCAGCGCTTGTCGAACTTAATTGCTTGCCGAACTTAATTCAAAAGTTTGATTCAGACGCCGTGCTTCTGCCGTGCTTTTGTCGAACTTAATTCCCGAATTTAGTTCGGCACGGCAGAAGCACGACGTCTGAACTGGGCCTAAGATACTCTGGACGCGGCCGAGGAGGACGCCAACCGGAAGTGAAATGTTCAATTCTTGGAACAAATTAGCATAATGCCACAGCGTCGACCTGAAGTCGCGAAAAAGTCGTGAAAACTAGAAGTTTGGCCGCCTCGTAAAACGGTGAGTTGGTTTTCTTGTTTTTAGTGCAGAAATTGCCTTTCGTACAGGATTTTCGATCCCTTTTACTTCAAGAGACACATTTAAGTGTTTTTAGTGAGGTGTTCTCTAAAGATTGCCTCGTATTTTTTTGCTATCAAGCCTTTTGGTTTCAGTGTTTTGGCGGCAACTGAGAATGAAAGTGCTGAGTCTTTCGACACAAATGTAACACTATAACTGCTTGTTTTTAAGGGGACAACGTTCTCGCTTTAGGATAGTATTTGAAAACTTAAGAGACAAGAAGTCGAAAAAAAATTGTTGAAAAACAAAAAATCTAGGCTTGTAATAAACTTGAACATGTCAGAGAAAATTGAGATCTCGAACAAGACGCCATGGTTCATTTATTAACTTTTATAATTTTATTTGTTCACTTTTAGTTCAGCGATGGAGCGGTCTGAAGATCAAAATCTCGCCTTAGTACGGGAAGTTCTCATAACAGAACCATATCGTTTTAAAGCAAGATCTAGAACAACGGAAAGCGAAAAAGTCTGGCAACAAATAGCTGATAACCTGAACTCCGATCATACCCTCAAGTTTCCCTCGAAGAAATTCGTTTTTTTTTTTTAGAGAAACTGGAGTCATAGCCGGCAGCACAAATTTTTCTTCCAATAAAAGATCGTTAAGGTATCAATCAAGCAAGACTTCACGAGTTATGGAATTAAAACACGAAAGCATTACTTTATCCTCTCTCGTCAGGCGAGCACTCAACCCAACCTGCTCAATCTTAATTTGTTTTTCCCGCGAAGGTGGCGGCGTCCTCGCTCCAGGCCTTCTCCGTTCTCTTTACCGCCGCGTCCAGAGTATCTTAAGGTGTAAATCTTAAGGTCCCTATTACCGACGAGGTTGCAAGGGAAACTGGGTCAAACTGCGTCCCCAAAACAGTCCCATAGTGCAGTTTGACACAAGACCGACCCAGACTCCTGCCCAACCTCAAAACTCTGTGTCCGAGCGAGGTTAAGAAACCTAACAAAAAGAAAACGAATTTCATTTGTATGAGAATAAAAAAAATCGTTTTCGTATCAATGGCTTCGCACTTAGCCTCGCTTTAAAACAGAGGCTTGGAGCAACTCGGTAATGGCTACATTCGTGGGCCGCTTGGGAGCTCTCGGAATAGCTTACAGGATTGAGTGAGAAATTAATGAACAAGCGACGGAAACAAACCCTAACCCTGAAATAATAGAGCTACGTACCTGCTAGAGCGAATGAAATTATATTTTTTGAAGGGCTTCGTGACAGTGGCAATGTAAGGTAATCCAAGACAGTCTTTGATTCTGGATTGCACGCTGTGGGTTCCGGAATCGTTATCATTGGAACTTGGATTTGGGATTTCCAATCGTTGGTGGGATTACGGATTCCAAAGTCCAGGATTCCGGTTATCACACGAAAATATTTCCTGGATTTCGGAATCCGAATTACCTGATCTTGGGCGGATCATTATACGTTTCTGGGAAACTGCCCACCTACCCCTCCCCTAAGCTAACATTTTATGCCCTAAGTGAAAAGTAAGTGTTGATGTTGGCTCAGGGAAGGGGTAGGTGGGCAGTTTCCCAGAAACGTATAATAATCACATGGGGCAATTTTGCCAGTATCATGTTCCACTTTAAGCGCCAGCAGGCATTTTTACTTTGTAACCTGGCTTATATTGGGTCTGATAATAGATATGATGTATATGAATATTTTTACAGCATGAGTATGAAAGTTCCTACCATAGTGGAAGAAGCCCAGCAAGCATTGCAGGCAGGATATTGTGTGGTCATTGGTCTCCAGTCCACTGGAGAGGTTTGTTTTCTCCTTCTCTCCAATTTTTTGTTGTATCCACTCCAAACGGGTTATAGATTCTGATAACAGAAAAATTTCTTTATTTCAAGGTCAGCCAGTGTTTAAAAAGTAATGTTTGAGACACTGAGAACTTTTTGCAAAGTTAGTAGAAAGTACGTATTAAATAATTATTTGCCCCTCACATTGTGTAGAGAGTTTCACATAACATTGTAGGTTCTATTAGTGGATGCACTTGATGCAAAGCTATCGCTGCAAGTATTTTATGATCCTTACGGTCTACTCAGTATTTGTTTGACAAAACAAAAAAAATGGTTGGGTTCTTTCGAGAACGCGCAATTCGTCTATAAAGAAGACCTGCAAATTGCTGGATTTGGCCGCTGGATGTATGATGGCCATCGTATTTTCCCTGCAATAATGTTATTTCGTTGGACTAGCAATTCACCTGTCAAGGCGGATTTTGTTTATCTGGAAAGTGATAGGTTACAGCAAGACTATCAATTTTGTCCAGAAGGCATGATCGACCACAGGTCACTAGATTTCGTGGGTCATGGGCCATTTTTGATAATTTTACTCAGGTATTGTTTAATGACCGACGGTTATTTACTTACTACTTATTAACCGAGAGTGAGGTCGTTACAGGGAAGTCTCAGCCCAAGGCCTTGATTTATTGACCGAACGATAGCACAACAGAACCATTTTTAAAAATACTTTTTTAAAGTTAGATATATGTCCCTTCGAATTCAATTCCACCAACATTTGACAAATTCAACGACATGGAATAACAGCGAGGAATTTTGAAACGGAATGAATTCACTTTTTAGGAGACGTTTTCATTACTGTCGTTGTCGTCGTTGCTGAAACTCCCCAATGATCATGAGAAAGTAGTTGCTTGAATAGAGTTTGGCTTAAGTCATTGTTTTATTTGTCAGGCAAGTTTGGAAAGTGAAATATCACGTTGTGGTGGAGTACTGAATGGCTTTGTCTCAAGTACAGAAGAAATCATTAGCAGGTTTATCACGCAGTATTTTCCAACTCAGATAATCAAATCGGTGAGTAATTCTGAACAACCCTTCTTAGCTGGTGAGATTTAACTCACGCGAGTTCTTAATTTCACGAGCGCTTTTGTTCTGGCGTTGGAGATCAGAGATGATTGAGGAAGTCAAGTTGACACCTCTCTTTCAGGTCCGTTCACTAAGATTTTAAGTTGCCGGGTATAATTTTTATGCAAAGTTTCGACGGAGATTTTTACAACTGGGAAGTTCTTTATGTTCATTTTTTCTTCTATTTCCTATGTAAGTAGCCGGGGGCCTTACTCACAGTTCCCAGGGGAAATTCCCGGTCCCGGACCCTCAATTACAGCCCTGTTCTTTCCCCTTGCGACTTCAGCGCCGCTGAAAAGCACTCCTGCGCTCTGATTCCACCAGCTTTGCAGGCTAATCTCAAGGATGGTACATCACACAACGAATGGATAATTTTGAAAATCCACTCTATACTCAACATTACTTAATACACTTTCTGTAACCTGCAAAGCAGGCGTATTTTGTAGCGTGACTGTTCTCCCGCCATCTGGGATATTGAAACTGACAGAGAGTTCAGTCACCTGTTCAGTTGGCGTCAGTGAAAAAATGATTCAAGATGACGGACGCGATCAATAAACATTTGTACGTCTAGGCTTTAGTTTAAAAAATGTTTGCTCTGCAGGCCACACTTTCTGCCTTCCACATTTCAAGATTTGATGGTAGTTCTCCTGTTATTGTTCATAAGCCACGGAAGTCCAGTCCAACAAACTTGTTTACTCAATTTCCCGGCCTTATTTTTGTTTCGGATAATGTGAAGTTAAGTAAATTTTTTTAAAAAAGAGAGAAATCAAGGCTATTATGTTCTTTATGTAGAATGGCGATGTTGTTGAAGATCAGTGGAGTGTTCAGGCTAAAAATCTTCTACAAGGTTTTGTTAAGAAAATTAATCTCCCAATCAGGTTTGTATCAATGTTATATTCTTTAAAACCCTTTTAAAGAGCCTGTCTCACTAGGATGAGCTATTGCTGTTTTAGGTCAATGCTGTGCAAGAGTCCCTACTTAGCACCTTAACCTAAATACAAAATGCTCCTGAGGAATTACACAGAAAATAGCAAACAAATTTTTAATCATGGAGCACTAACCACTATTTTTTTTGGTGATTGGTACAGGCATAGTATTAAAACTTGAACAATTTGGTAGAACGTTTTCAAGTTTAAATCCATGTCCATTCTTGCCATCCGTTGCAACAGACGACAGAAACCAGTTTCAGTGCTAAAAAATATTCTTAAATAACAAATTTGCCGCATTATTTTTGGGATTAATCCTAGGTGGGGATGGAAAGGATTATGTTATGGACTACCATACACTGTCTCACTCCACCCAGGTGTATAAATTTGGGTACCAAAAGATTTAATCCTGGGTGGAGGTGGTAGGGATCCTGTTATTGACTACTATCCCGTCCAAGGAAGAGCAAAAATATTCCTAGTCGCTTCATGCTATGGAGATCGGAATGTGGTACGGCTGAATGGGCCACCTGGCTCGAACGCAGACTTTACCTTCGTACCTTTGTGACATATTTTTGTCTCTAGTCCTCTTGATGACCTTATAAACCAGCTCGGAGGACCAGGAAAAGTAGCGGAAATGACAGGCAGGCGTGGTCGCGTGGTAAAAACTGACAAGCAGCCTCAACCTCATTACGAGGCTCGAGAATCAGACAGCAGCAATGTGGATAGTTTGAATATTCAAGAGGTGAGCAAAGTGATCAGAACTAAATCTTGCGCCGTGTTCCGAATAAAATGGTAGAAAATGCGATTTACAGTCTGTAATTACAGTGATCAGCATAGACGTCATCCTCGGCCAAGACCCTAGAGCAGGTAGCCAGATCGAAAACTTTCGTCGCACGACTCGTCGCACCGTTTCTGCCGACCTGACTGACTGCCCCTGGGTCTCCGAGGATGAACTCTGCGATTGTCCCTTACATTTAAAAACAGGAATGTCCTTTCAGCGCGAGAAAGACAGCCTAGTGCTTGTGTTTGTTAGTTGTTCCTGGGATTACAAGTTTTCAAGTGTAGTCCAACCTTTAAGTCTTACTCTAAATCTGAATAAGACTCTTATGCCTTAAATTCAGGTAGCAATCCGGTTTCGGATCTTCGTTTCATTCCCCAGTATTTTTCGCTTTCGCTATGACAACTAAGTCGGCATAAAGCAATTGCTTGAAGCTCAAGAACTGCCTCTTTAAATACCACAGTTTTTAGAGAGTTGTTTGAGTATATCTAAACATTCAACGTTGTTTTTTCGATTGCATTGTATCACAGAGGAACAGTTTTATGAATGGAACAAAACTTGTTGCCATCATTATCTGATGCCGCCAGCACTGGTAGGTTCCCTTTGCATCTTGATTCGTTTGAAGTTACCTGGATTAAACCTTGCACTTTTTAAGAGCCCATGACTGTAGATATCGAGAATCGCTGGCCAGGCTAAAAAAAACGAAAATTCTGATAATTTGTCAGAAAAACCCCTTTGGGAAACTATCTTCGAAAAAAATATTTCAACTTTCAAGAATCTATAGTTTTCGAGAAAATGAGGAAAAACGAAAATAGCGGTTTTTACCTAATTAATTATGCAAAAATAAGAGTAAAAATGACCTACTTTATCGCGTCTGTACCGTGGCAAGATTCAAAGCTATAAAACAGAAATATTTTCGTTTAAAAGAATTCTTTGTTTTCTTTCTATCCATGGTATGTTTTAAACCATAAACTTGATTTTGAATTTTTTACGGTTTTTTAAAAACTACCACCAAGCGCACTTTTTAAAATGGCTAAAAAATGAGCAACTTCAGAGGCAAAAAACTCACCTTGGTATGTGTGATACCTAGCCAAAATGTATACTAGGACAATGTTCAGCTCTTATATTAACAGAATATGAAACAAAAAATCTGGGTACTCCGGGTTCGCCTTTACAAAATAAAAAGTTTCGTGACCACCAGTGGCAAAATGTCACAAATTTGCATAAGTCAAATTTGTAGAGAAATGATGCCGTCTGATTTTTCTTTGTAGTTTCGGTACGTGGTATATTCGAAACGTAGTAGAAAGGATGAAAGCGCCTTTAAATGAAGCTAAAATTAAGTAAAGGATCTGAAAACTTGATATCCCTGATAACAAATTGCTGTGAAGGTTGGTGACACAATAGACCTATTCGGCTAACTCAATGTTGTACCCAATTCAAATCTCCCGGGGATAAGATTCTTTGTGTATTGTATTTGCATTATAATGTGGCATTCACATTTAAATGATGTGGAAATTCCTGAAACAAAACGTTTTATTCCCAAAGGGTTTGAATTGGGTACAACATTGAGTTAGCCGAATAGCTCTATGTGGCAAATTTGCATAAAAAGGCATCTGCATATTCCTATCGTACACAAGGACAGGTTTGAATACTGTTAGCATCACGCAATATTTGAGGCTTAAGAATAGCATAACCAAGAGAATAGCTAATGTTAAATGTTTTATAATTTGTATGTTAGCTCTTCTTAATTGTACATTATAAAATTAAGGTTGCTCAGCAATTGTTGTTGGGTGTTGGAGTACTGTAAGTATTCTGCAATTGCGTGACCGTTGTCAAACTCAGCAAAGTCAGACTTTATTTTTACCGGTACGATAAAAAAAATGTGAGCTTATGAAGTAAGTAAAGAAATATTATTCATTTCAGATTACTTAACCTTACTTTATTCACCTGAATGAATTTCGCGGTCATACATCTTTCTTGGAGTGGTCACATGCTTTTATGGTACCGATAGTTCATTCGTCGAGGCATTTAAGGGATTTGCCATTAATAACACTATACATCAGACCCTATAAGTTTTCTATCGATAAAAATCCGAAATAGTTAATTTTCTCAGTAGTTTTTCAAAGTTATATTTTGGTGAAATTGCCACTTCTCGCGTATTAAAAATAACGTAAGTAAAGACTAGATTAAAGTAATCATTGCCCCCTTTTCTCTCTTTTCTGAAATTCTTCCACCTCCTCTTTCTGCCTCTTCACTGTTCGTGCGTTCAACACTATCAAGTCCAGACACGATTTCGACCCGTAATTGTGCCATTGATTGGTTGAAACCTTCATTGAACGGACCCTGACGGATCCTTGCAATTGTCCTCTCAATAGAAAAAGTACATCAGATGGAGGGAGTCCTGCCGACACTGTGGTCGTTTTTTTTTTTTTGAACCATGAATATCCTTCATGAACCCATTTAGCTTTCCATTTATTCACCAAGGTTTTAAACTGATCAAAATCAACAAGGATGGGTTTTTCCACTGGTGCCTCATTAGCAAATTTTCACCTATCTTTATGTATCTTGAGAGAGTTACACACCAAAAAAGCCACATTTGGGGTAAAAAATCTACTTCCAATTTTTCTATTCACCTTCTATTCTCTACAGATTAATTAAATGTCCCTTTCCTGAAAAGTTAGCGGCCAAAATTCCTTGCAAAACAAAGACAGTGCCGGGAAGACGATCAAGTGCCGGAACAACAGAAGAAGAAAGGCAAAGCAAAACAGCAAATATGCTGATTTGTGCTCTTCTTGAAAAGAACTGTCACAGGGAGCCCATTACCCCCGTCTCACACATTGACAATCTGTAACCAGCTGTTGTCATGTTTCGTTCCTGCGGATATATAATATTAGATACCGTCCAAACTTAAGGACACTGTAATTAGAGGGTCTGGTGCTAAGAAGGAAATATCTAAATATTGGATTGTTTTTTGCCTGGTATCACAAATGGCTAGAGCTAAAATTTCCATGGTCAAAATTCCAAACCAACGAAAAAATGTTTTTTCCGTAATTTTTTTTGGTAACGGCACATGTTATTCAGCAATTAAATAGCCCCAGCCCCTCGCATATGCCATAGCTAAACATCAATTTAAGAGCAGTTTTATCTCATAACTTTTCTTTCCCTTTGTCTGAAGTTCTTTCCTTCTTTCCTTCGGGAAACGGTTAGGCGTAAATAAAACCGCCGATGCCACTTACTCACCTGGCTATGTTATTTAGCTCCTTAGTCGCTATCAACTACCCTGACAGCGGAGGTCCTTCGATCTTACTATAAATAAGTCGGGAAGAGGAAGAGAAGGGTAACTATCAACTAAACAGTGATTCGATCGGACGTTCCGGTGTGAAGGCTCGAGCTGGGACATTGCGGGTACTGACGTTGATACTCCTGAGCAAAAGGCAGGTATTTCTTTAAACAAAGCTCTGGTCTGCGGTAAATGGTACTTACGTCGATATAAGTTCGTTGTCGCAAACTGCGATAGGCCAGGGGCGTCAAGGATGACCTTTCTGATACTTCTCTTTTCAAGATGATGCTACGTTTTGCAAGCACTCGACATGGGTGGGAGTTGGTTAGAGTAGCTCAAAAGCGGTGAACAAGGAGTCTTATCTTCCATGGACAAATCCTAGTTGCATCGTCGTGAAAGGTGATTTACTCTGTTTGAGTACAGTTGAAACTCCTTGTGCGACCACCTATCCAATGCACCAAAACCCACCCAGTTAAGTCTCCCAGCTGGAATCTCTCCTTGACCCGCGACCACTAATTGAGGCTGAGTGTATAATGATTTTGCATTGTTTTTAACCTCTTGTAAGCGACCACCTGACGAGTTTTCTGATCTCTTGTGGTAGGAACAACAACAACATGGAACTGCACATATCGCAACTTAAAAATTGCAGGCAATGAATTATCTTCCTTAAAGTAGATGTGTCCAGTTTTCTTCTCAAAGAAACCTCCTGTGGTTCGATTCTCGTAAGAGATCACCTCCCGTTAGCGACCACTCCACTACGTCTGCGCATTTTGGGTGGTCTCTTTCGAGAGGTTCGACTGCGTGTAGTTCCCTTTTCCAGTTCTTCGGGGGCGTCGGTTGGAACTTGTTTTGGTTCATGGGTTTCGCGTATAGATTTACACACTACGGCACTGCTACATTATATTTTGAAATCAACAAATATCATTTTGTATTTGAAGGAAAGCGCCCCTTGGCAGGTGGTATAACTCCGCGATGACCTAAAAGAGGCAGTTTTTGCGGGAAAAATGTTTCGGATTCGTTTCGGAGGAGAGAAACCGCTGGACCGTATGAACTACGATCACTTAGCTGTTTCCTAGGGCCTTGGTAGCTACCTAATATACTTCTATTTGTCAAAAGTAAAGAAATTAACCAAGGGACGGTTTGTTGTTTGTAATACGTAGTAAAAAAAATCAGATTTCAACATCTCTGACAAGAAAATGCTAACTTTTAGTGCGTGACTGACAGGCATGCAAAGTTAGTATCCCTTATTTAATTCTGAAAAGAAAATAAACTACTGAGAAACAAATGATGTTGCGAACAACACATTGTCTGTTCAAAACAAAGTCTCCATAAAATTTCATAAGGAGAAAAAAAAAATCAGGAAAAGAAGGCGGAGCTGCTCGAGACGTCGTTGCGTGACATTGTTACTCTAACTGTTAGTTTATGACTTCCTCTCACGCGGTGTAGCCCGTTAGCAAAAAACCTCCTTCACAATAAAATTTAACGGAAAATGTACCTACCTATTCTAGATATACCGGAGGCGAATTTACGATGATACAGATGGACGCTAATTCAAGGAAGTTAGGAAAAGAAACGAGAGACATGGGATATAGTTTACATAATAATTCGGCTCTTTTATATAACGCTTCTTCGAGGTCGATTTTTATTATTATTTTTTTGTGGACGGTTAATTACTCTGATATTTTAACACAAACTTTATCAAACAACGTTTTCTTGCTTCGTTGTGTTTCCGAACATAACATACTGACCCTGGATTGAAACAAAACCGGCTGCCGCAACATTTCTCTACAAATTTGACTTATGCAAATTTGTGACATTTTGCCACTGGTGGTCACGAAACTTTTTATTTTGTAAAGGCGAATCCGGAGTACCCAGATTTTTTGTTTCATATTCTGTTAATATAAGAGCTGAACTTCGTCCTAGTATACATTTTGGCTAGGTATCACACATACCAAGGTGAGTTTTTTGCCTCTGAAGTTGCTCATTTTTTAGCCATTTTAAAAAGTGCCATTGATGGTAGTTTTTAAAAACCCATAAAAAATTCAAAATCAAGTTTATGGTTTTAAACATACCATGGATAGAAAGAAAAGAAAGAATTCTTTTAAACGAAAATATTTCTGTTTTATAGCTTTGAATCTTGCCACTGTACAGACGCGATAAAGTAGGTCATTTTCACTCTTATTTTTGCATAATTAATTAGGTAAAAACCGCGATTTTCGTTTTTCCTCATTTTCTCGAAAACTATAGATTCTTGAAAGTTGGAAATATTTTTTTCGAAGATAGTTTCCCAAAGGAGTTTTTCTGACAAATTATCAGAATTTTCGATTTTTTTAGCCTGGCCAGCGATTCTCGATATTTACAGTCATGGGCTCTTAAATTCTTTTAATACTTGAAATTTGAGGGCAACCTTGAAGTTATTTTCACACAAAGAATCGCTGGCTCAGTGTCTGTTAGCGTTCAATTGAGTTGCCATTACTTGGAATTTCGTGTAGAGACTCGAAATTTAGAGTGATGTTTCTTGACTTAAAGTTCTACTCAAGCAGGAATAAAAGGTTTTCCTCGGGTAAAAGGAACCGCAATAAATAACGTGTATAAGTGACAAGACAAGACGATAATTTACTTGGGGTCGTATACCACCTGGTACATCGACTGTTTTCCAAATGATTTAATATTACAATATTCTGTGTGATATCATTTGTAAGACTCATTGAATTACACAGGTATCTCGTTACACGCGGATCTCCGAGCAGCCAATGGCCGTTTTTATACTAAGGATGCATTATCCGTCTGGACGAACTTGGGCAAACATTTTGTAGTTCGTCTGGGTTATGCGTCTCTAGTATAAAGACGGGCACGAGACGCATTATGCGTCCAAACGAACTACCTTTCGTAGTGCGTCGTTCAAGACGTATTTCGAAGGAAAGTTCGTCCAGAAGCATAATGCGTCTTGTGCCCGTCTTTATACTAGAGACGCATAATCAGACGAACTACAAATGTTTGCCCAAGTTCGTGCGGTCGGATAATGCGTCCTTAGTATAAAAACGGCCATAGACGCATTATGCGTCTGGACGGATAATGCGTCCTCTAGTATAAAAACGGCCAATCAGTGCCGCCGTGTTCATGTGACCATTGAGCTGCCTTGGAGTGCTGACAAAGCTGTTCAGCAACTGGGAAGATCACACCGGTCAAACCAGACAAGGTACATGCACTGCCCAAACACAAACGTTCCTATCCCTTTGATATAAGCTATTTCCTAAAGAAGAAGGAAATGGTTGCGCGCTGCACGTTTACCATTTTTTAATTGTACCTCCGCTTGATTAGCCTTGTTGGAAGGGTAGCGTTCTGCCAAGCAGGTTTAAACCCGCCGTTTAAACCCAACACCAACCAGGGTCTTCAAAAAACTGATCATATCATGCTGCCTGTTATCTAAGATCTTGTCTCATTCCAGATGATCTGATAGTCACGTCAGTGGGCGGTGATGTTAATCCATTGGCCTTGTCTTATTCATCCTTTCTTAACAATTCGAAGGGGACGTAAAAAGAACCCACACTGCTGTTGGAGAAGAGAGTGAGAGGTAGACCTCTGTGGTGTGGTTTATCTCTCACGTGGAAGGGAACTGTCACGGGGCACAATACTTGGCTTCACGCTTTTGCGTTTACCCTGCCAAGAATTGGACAGTCTAGTAAAACAAAAAATAAAATTCCTTGTGATTAAAAATCTGAAGGCTTTCCTGGAATATCACTACTTCCATAATATCCTGTGTACAGCCGCCTTCTCCCCTTGGGAAAAATCGGCAAAAGGGAGGGGGCGGCTTTACACAGGCTACTCCCATGATCACTTTTCTTTCGCCAAAATCCCCTTTGTACCATGGGAGTCAGAGGAGGGAGATATCATGTGATAATGTTCACCGTCTAATTGGCGCGCTCGGGGGCTCCGCTTTTCTCCAGAGTTTTACTGGCTCTAATGTTTTCTTTGTTTTGTTTTGTTTTTTTAGTGGACCTATCTATAAACTTGTAACAACAAACTTGGGCGGTGAAAGAAGATTTGCTGCGGCTGTGGCTCGACGGCTTCAGTCGTTAGGTAATGTTTAAATGTTTGTCAAACTCGGAAAATCGTGAACATCTGACGTATTTGTGAATTATTCTCACTCAGTTGCAAGGAAAAAGCTAATCAGACATAAAAACAAAGAAGCTGCAAGTATCAGCGGTAATTAGTTTGAGAAAGATGATTTTTAAGTTTGACACAGGCGGCTCGAAATGAAAAAATCCGAGTACACCCATCCAACAGGAGTTAAAACTTTGATCATCTGTCTACTAGCCCGGCCAGATGCTCTACCACTAAGCTACAGGGGTCACGTGGGAGCTAAGGTCCCTAAACTAGGTCCATGTGGCAAACATCCTGCATACTTCTAGCACTAAAATGTCGATATGTACTGATGTAATATGATAAGAGATGTGATGGCAGGGTGCAAAGAAAATCATTTTTATAGCTTGCCATTCGGGCAAGCTGAAGCTAGCATTTACTAGCCCAGACATCATTTTAACTAGCCCTAAAAGCTTTTTGACCAGCAGAATTGATTTCACAGTTCTTCCTTTATCCGAATTGCTCAAAAAACATCACTTGCTTATCGGGCAAGTTAAAAAGAGAATTCACCAGCCTGATAACAAAATCCACTTGCCCCGAGCTATCGGACACTACTTTCTTTGCACTCTGGATGGTGAATTTTGAGCCTGGTGAATACATGAGAAATATGATTTTTCAGTCAGTGACACAGGCGGCTTGGAAGAAAAACATCCGATTACTCCCAGTAGGCGGTCAAACTTATAACATTCTGGTTACTAGTCCAGATGCTCTACCACTGAGCCACAGGAGAAGTTTTGGAGCTAAGTTCATGTGCAAACATCCTGTATGTAATACTGCTAGATTGTCTAGAACTAGTCCTAGCAGAATACAGTCGAAGCTCTCCATGCGACCACTCTCGTGGTCTAGTTACGACCACCTTTGTGAAACGTCGTTTGGACAGTGACTTAAACAATTTAGTGAAAAAGCTCTTGTAAGCGACCACTCCAGTAAGCGGCCGTGAACGCTTTTGGGATTACCCAAGTGGACGGGGTTGTCGCTTACGAGAGCTTCGACTGTATCTAGAACGTTCTTATCCTAGCAGTATGCTGGATGTTTGTCACGTGAACCTAGTTTAGTGGCCTTAATCATTTGTAGCTCAGTGGTAGAGCATCTGGACTGGTAGCCAGAAAGTCATAGGTTTTCTTTTGTTTTCCCAGCCAAAAGCATCAATCCATTCAACTAAACAGCCATGACAGAGCCCCTTTAAGTTTTTGTTTTGTTTACCTGCAGGTGCACTTACCAAAGGTGACAGACGAGTAGCGACTGGGGCTGACTTAACGCAGTTTAATTTTGACACGCCTTACGGCCGATCTGCACTCAGGAACATGTACCAAGCCATTACTTTGGTATGTCAGATAGCCTGTTTCGGGATAAAAGATAATAGCGTAGTAACTAGCTAAATTGTTTTTTATTCTCGATATTTTTGACCAACTAGTTGGATTTTACTAAAACAATTATTCCTCTCGCCCTCATGGCCTCTTAGTCAATAGCCCATTCGGCCTTCGGCCTCATGGGCTATTGACTCAGAGCCCATTCGGGCTCGAGGAATAATTGCTAAAAATCCCACGTTAAAGCGCCCCTCGGTTTTAAACCCTCTCCCGGATCTAAGTCCATCTCTTTGCTAACGAAGATATTACATATTCCGGATACAAGTCCCCCGGATATAATCCCCCCCGCCCCTATTTATAAGCCTACCCAAAACCCCTCAAGACGTTATATAAGCCCAGGGGCCCGTTTCTCGAAAGTCCCGATAATTAACGGGCCCGGTAAGCCGTCTCCGTTTATATTAAAGATCGAGGTTTCAAAAGTTTTGCATGTAGCATGATAAAACTATCAGTTCGTGAGACGAAATGGGGTAGTTTGCCAGCCAGGACCGGCGCTCTTCTTCTTTATATTTCGATTTGAATATTTGATTTTGGGCCCGAAAAGTTACCGGGACTTTCGAGAAACGGGCCCCAGGGTTTTAACGTGAGATTTTACGGTATCGGTATGTCAGAAGTGGTCACGAATTAGAACCATGTGTGCTTGTTGCTTGTGTCATCTACGACCGAGCGTTTTTTATTTGAACTTGGGACTTATTTTGCCTTTTTTTTTCAGCAATCCATTTGTCTCGGAGTTGCTTTGTCTAAGGTTCTGTTAGCAGCACAAATTCCCGACAAGCATGAATTCACAGAGTTTAACTCCATCGCAAGGGTGAGTTTTACTTCGTTGGTCGCGAACGTGGTTAAAATTCTTGTTTAATTTCTCTCCTTAAAAGTGGATTTGGAAACAAAATTGATGATGTCAGAGACAATTTTATATGGCAGTTAGGCAGCGATGTTGCTTCATAAAAATTTTGGGCAACACGTGGGAATGGATAAAGGAAAAACGTCATTTTGTAATAACATATAATGCGATCAGTAAAAAATGACTTGATAGGAAAAATTAGAGAGACCTTGAATAGTGGAAACAGGAGATACAGTAGTAGCCTGTTTATAATAATACTAAGCATTTGGAAAAATGTAAGCTCCTTGTTTGTCTTGTCCCATCGCGTTTCTTGCTCCTCAGCATGGCGTATTTGTACCACGTGACTAAAGCACTACAAAGCGCCCATTTCGTTCGGTAGTCTAGCCCGCGCCATAGACGAAACTAAAGTCTGGTTAAGTCTGTCTACGAAAAAGCGCCGAAATCCTTGTTCTGGGCCCCAGTTGTGTACCAGGATTTGAGTATGCGCCATGATTGGCCTTTTAAAAATGCCATTGTCCATTTGCCAATCAGGTTGAAAAGAAACTGGAAACGCACTTCTGGCAAAACGCTTATTCCGTTGTGGGCCCAGAACAAGGATCTCGGCGCTGTTTCGCAGACATTACCTGGAATTGCCTCTCAAAAATATGAAAAAATCAAATCGGCAAGTTTAAATTTACGCAACTCAGCATAAAAGCGACTCTAGCATAGGAGGATTTGAAGATTTTAGTCCAGCATAGGGTAGAAAACTTCAGCTGCACTAGCTTTAGTATAGGCTAAGGGTTACAGGGTCCTGGCGGCACATCCCCGCCCAAAAAATCCTGAAAAAGTACCCCCCGGGGGAGGGGGTTAGATTACATATGCGACGTAGGCTATTGGTAGTCCAGTTTCACATTAGTGGTTACTTATGAAGAAAGTCTTTCTCAAAGATGGTCCATTACATTTACCGAGGTGTCCAAATGACTGAATTACTCTCAAGTTTAACAAAGCCCTGTTTTCTTTGGTTTCACAGCAATGTCTTCTGTCCATGGGAGTAACAGACGCCAGTTTCGTGGTGAAAGACAAAGACGCCAGCGATGTGGGAAAATTTCTCAACCGTATTTTGGGTCTTAGTGTGGAAAGACAAAATTTGGTAAGTACAAAGATCCTTCCTGTTTGGTAGCAATGAAACGTACGTTTGAGGGGAAGTTGTGGGACTACCCTTGTTTCCTAACTTTTTCTGCTATTTGAACCGCTGTCGTGAATTTTATCTGTCGATTTCTCAGTCTTCTTTTATCAGTCGATTTCCCACTCTTCTTTTATCGATCGATTTCTATATCAGTCTTCTTTTATCGTTCGATTTCCCACTCTTCTTTTATCGATCGATTTCTCAGTCTTCTTTTATCGCTCGATTTCCCACTCTTCTTTTATCGATCGATTTCTCAGTCTTCTTGTATCGATCGATTTCTCAGTCTTCTTTTATCGATCGATTTCTCAGTCTTCTTTTATCGATCGATTTCTCAGTCTTCTTTTATCGATCGATTTCTCAGTCTTCTTGTATCGATCGATTTCTCAGTCTTCTTGTATCGATCGATTTCTCAGTCTTCTTGTATCGATCGATTTCTCAGTCTTCTTTTATCGATCGATTTCTCAGTCTTCTTGTATCGATCGATTTCTCAGTCTTCTTGTATCGATCGATTTCTCAGTCTTCTTTTATTGATCGATTTCTCAGTCTTCTTTTATCGATCGATTTCTCAGTCTTCTTGTATCGATCGATTTCTCCGTCTTCTTGTACCGATCGATTTCTCAGTCTTCTTGTATCGATCGATTTCTCAGTCTTCTTGTATCTTTGTCAGAACTAGCCGGCCAAACTGGTCATAATGAAAATGAAATGTTTACCAAAAACCCATCACTGCCGCCCATACATTTTAGAGATAAACAGATCTGACCGGATAGTCCTGATTAAAAGTGGAATTCTCCTGGCGGTTGTACTGGACTGGCCAGCCAGTTCTGACAAATTGTAAGTGCCCTAAGACTTTCTGTTATCGAGTTTCCTTTTTTGTTTCTGTTTTCTATTTTCGTGGTGTTACTCAATCAGTCGCGTTTTTAGCGCTCATGGAATTCGAATTTTGAGCGAGTCTGATATCCAGATTTTACCGCTCCTTCAGGGTATAGGGAAGAGGAGATGGCTGACACCACAAACTCGGCTCCGGTATCTCAAATATATAACTTTCTCCTCTACACCGGTAGCTCGCTAGTATAGAACAAACGCTTCTGCCTTCCCAAGCTCACTAACCCAGTTTACACCCACTTTTCTGCTGCGCTACATCTCACGTGACCACACCCCTTGTGCAAAGCACTTTGCGATTTTTGCACATAAGAAATGTTTCATTTTCCCCTGTTTTATTTGTAGTTCCTCGCGAAGCGAGACGCGGAGCGCCGAGCCGCGAGGTTTATAATCTCGTCGTGTCGCGCGCGCTACATCTCACGTGACCACACCCCTTGTGCAAAGCACTTTGCGATTTTTGCTCATAAGAAATGTTTCATTGTCCCCTGTTTTATTTGTAGTTATTCTCGTACTTTTGTGAGTGCCTAAATGCTGCAATTGAAACTGCAAAGCGCGAAGGAAGGTAAGTATTGTTTTTGTTACTGACCAGTTAATTTCTAAGAAACTAAGTTCTTCACCCCGAAGCGTCGATCTCTCATATTAAGCTTAGGGTCAATAAAGCTTGGTTCTTGCACCATAAGATTTGTGTCGCATGCATCCTCGAAAAAACATTGGTCTCGCATTCATACCCTGGACACAAATGAATAATATTGCGTGATAATTCTTAGGTATAGTGAAGGCGTGACAGACGTATCTGGGTCTTCAATCACGATGGTCGGCGCTGCCCAGCCTGTTTTTAGCGACTTTCAAAGAGGCCTCATGGAAACAAAGTAAGTAGTCTTAATGAAGATATGACCCGTCCCAGTCGTGAACGCAATTTAAGCAATTGCAAATTTAGCGCGAAGTTACCATTAAGTCAATTCTTAAGGTCATTCTTCTGTAGTAGAACCTGCAGTGAGATTTTTGTCAGACTTTGCCGATTAGATATTGTTTGAAATAAAATCGCGGGGTCCCCAATCCCCATACTCGTTTTGGAGCGGGAGCAACTTGTAAGTGCGCAGTGATTCCTTGAGATACCAAGGGAGCTTCCGCATCAACGACGGCGATGGCAGCGAAAACGTCACTTTTAAAATGAATTTGAGTGTTTTTTTTTGGCGTGCTTATTCCAGTTCAATGACAATGTCAAACTGTAGCGGGTGAATTTCTTGGGGACCGCACTCAAGTTTAAATAGAGAAGGAAAAAAATTCTTCCTCGCTTGTTTACGTCCTCCATAAACGTGAAATTAGGCATTTTCACATCGTAGTTGTGTAGTGACGGCAACGAAATGTAGAAAAATGTGTGATGCACGTGCGAAGTTGTTGTTTAGCTAATATAAACCTAAGCCCCGTGCAAACGGACGCAACTTAACATTGTTGGCCAACAACTCCCAACATTGTTGGATGTTACATGTTGCGTCCGTTTGCACATCCTGTTGGATGTTGTTGGATGTTGTTGCGTGTTGTTGCGCAAAGTTTGAAACCGGTCAAACTTTTCAGCCAGCGACTCCCAACATTTCTTTTCTTCCGTGATCGCCGAAACGTGGCACAACAATGTTGGATCCGTTTGCACAACTCTTCCAACATTGTTGGGGCCACGCACGCTCATTACGCATTCTTTACAAAGACTTATGGGTTGTATCCTTCCCACGATGCACTGCAGGTCCCAACATTGTTGGGAGTTGTTGCATCCGTTTGCACACCACTGCCAACATGCACGCAACAACTCCCAACATTGTTGGCGCAACAATGTTGGGAGTTGTTGCGTCCGTTTGCACGCAGCCCTATGATTTTTTACCTTTCTGGTTGCAGTCGCCGTCGTCATTAGGGACCTTAAGATCCGACGACGGCGACGGCAACGGGAACGCCACAAAAGCAATAGGTTTAATTAGCAAAACAACAATTTTGCAGGTGCATCACGCTTTTTTGTACATTTCTTTGCCGTCACTGCACGACTACGACGTGAAAATACCTAATTTAACGTTGTACAGAGGAAGTACACAAGCGACGGCTAAATTTCCTCTCTCTTTCTGTACTTGGCTATGGTTCTTAGGAATTCAACTTTAGGATGGTTCGCCTACATTTGAAGATGAAGATTGAAAGAACACAAATTCACTTTTTCAGCGACGTTTTCTCTGCCGTCGCTGTCCTCGGATCTTAAGGTCCCTATTGCTAAAGCTCCCGACTATGATAATATTTATGAGTACATGTTTTGAACACGTTTCCGACGGTCGTCTCTCTTTCTACGGTAGAAATTAGTCTTAATTTATTCAAGAAGAAGAACGTTACTGCTCATTTTAAAAGAAGAGAAAAAGTAAAAGGTCACCATTCTCGTTTACGAGAAAATGAAGATTTAACTCTCTGGGGAGCTCCACTCCAGTGTCAAGGCAAAAGCCGCCTTGTTTTAAGTGCGTGCGTCCTGTTATGATCTGTTGGCGCGGGCTTATCAAGCGTGAAGTAATGCGCAATGCATACGAAGGAATAACCTGAAATCCCTTCTCAGTTATTTTCATTTCTTTTTTCAGACACATGACTGTAAACGTTGATCGCGGAATAGGCTGGGATTCGGCAGTGAAGCAGTTACAAGACAATGGAAAAAACAAGTTTGACGGGTTTTATTGTTCCAAAAGGGAACAGAAAGGGAGACGGCTTTACCTTCTAGCGATACAAAAGGAGTCGTCCACCCATCTTTTTAACATTACAAGGTAAATGTAAGGGCGAAAAACTACTTTTCACCGATGTGAACGCCCTAAAAGTTCAAATTTTAGGTTGGTTGGTTGGTTGGTTTAAATACCGTAAATCCTCTATACAGCCCTGCCCTCTCTCTTAAATAAGCACCTTCCCCTCTAACGTTTCATCTGGACTAATCCGGTATGCTTCATTAACCAGATTCAGAGACTTGAAGTTGTGATTTCTTCTTGTAAACGATAAAGTACATGCGATTAAGCCTCCCAGGATCTAAGCTCCCGGCGCGTCCAAACGAATTAAAATGAATTCGATTTATTATGACATTTTGAAGCTTGCTTAAAAACCAGTAAATGCTAAAGGTTTCTTGTTCAGCACTGCTATAGAATGTTTCGAAGCGCCTTTTCTATTTCGGTTATTAGCCCCTCCTTTTATTAGCTCTCTTAAAACCCCTTAAGAAAATTTATAAGCCCAGGGCTTATAAGCGACATATTACGGTTGTGGAATTTCTACCCAAAGATAATTTCCGCTTTTACTTCGTTTTGTTTTTGTGCAGACCAAACTCAGGACGGTCTCCTTTTGAAGAAGAAAAAACTGATCTTCTGCACAAGTACAACAGGATTTCATTGGAAGATGCAGGTAAGGGAGACGGGTCTAGTTAGGCTACCTTTTGTATTTACCACCAGGAAGCCGTGTGAAATCAGAAGTGCTGTCCTCGTGTTTTACTGTGATTTGTTTGAAATCTAGTGCACTGCACGGGTGCCAGCCCGTCCTAATTTGTAAAACGTAGGCGAATATACCTGGAGCTAAATTCTTACAAACTGTAGTTATCTTCAAAAAGAGAAATAAAAATTCGTTGTCGTCTGGTCCTTCATAAAACGTCGCTTTAGGGGTTTTCACGTCCTAGTCGTGCAGTGGACGTTAAAGAAATGTACTAAAAAGTGTGGTGTACGTGCAGAGCTATTGTTTTGTTCATAAAATGAATTTTTGGATGTTCTCGCTGCCGTCGTCGTTGTGGTTGCAGAGCTTTTGAAATGAATGCCAGTAAATAAAAAAAAATTATTTTGCTGCAACTTCATGTTTTGCTAATCGTTTAACAGGTTACACAAAAAGTAAAACTCGTGAAATGTCAAGTACTTTGATTGGTCAGGAACTAAATACTGTTGTATACTTTTGATTCATTAGAAGCTGGATGGAAAGCACAGTACGAAAGAACCAGAGATCACTGTATTCACGGATTAGGCTGCAAGACTGGACCTTCTTGTAAAAGTAAGTGAAAACGTTATTACAGTGGTGTATTCCTTAGAAGTCTCCTTAAGAGACCACGAGGAGGTGACTCGACAAAATGATTTAATCCGTCGTTAAAAGAATAATTCCGGCAATTTGTTAATGAATGAACGAATAAACTTTATGAAAGTGTCAATACAACATCTAGCAGAGAAAAATCCTCATCTAATAGGGGACACCTAAAGCGCGATACAATGATGACATTCAGTTGCAATAAAACGAATTTTTTAAATTTACAGTGAGCACGTTACAATGAAAAGTTATCAACTTGTTAGTGGCTAGCTTTAAAAAATACGTAACGTTGATGGGTAATGCAGTCCATGATTAAGATATGGTCATGCTATCTTTCTTTATCCCATCCCATCCCATCCCATCCCATCCTATCCTATCCCATCCTATCCTATCCTATCCCATCCCATCCCATCCCATCCCATTCCATTCCATTCCGTCCTATCCTGACCTGTTCATTAGTTAGAAAAGACAGGATAATAGCATTCCAATATCAATACCTTGTATGGTTGCTTGGTATTGGCCATTTTGAGGTTGCGCGTCAGGTTCAGGTTATTGGTATGTCGAGAGCACTTTGATCCCTTTTGGGACGCTATGGCTTCATTCATTCGCTGTTACGAGGTTGCACAAGAAACTTGGTTAAAATTTCTCTCGCAAAACAGTCCCATAGTGCAATTGGACTGGCCACTTTGTGGTCAAGAGTGATATTTCACATATATTTACATGAAGTCAAATGGCAACCATGAGAAAAATGGCTCACCATTGGATCGATCACCACTTCTGGAACAACGCCCAAACTCCCCATCCCTAACCCATGTTTCTTTCACGCTAAAGCCACCCGTTAGGGAAAAACAAGAGTTAAGGTGGGTTGGGAGGGACCCAGAAACTGTGAATAATTCAACGAGATCCCGTTTTTGTTTGTTCGTCAGCCGGCTGTCGCATTACTCAGATCCACTTATTATGTGGTGGGATTATTCCCTTGCTGTCTGTGTTGGAGATGGCCATGGCTAAAAATGCTGATAAAATTGGTCTCAGGTAAGTAACTCTTAATCCCTTCGCTTCCAAAAGAACTGATTATCAAAAGCATGAATCGCTATAAAAGCCAAAGCACTGCTAAAAAGGTTATATGTGAATGGTCGCACAATGTATTCACAGTATGTTTTAGCGGTTGATATTTTGTCCGTCTGGCGACTTCGGTTCCCGAGGCGTGAGTTTTGGTCGTGTCATTGTGTTTGGTTCTTGTCGCCGAGCAGTTCTTCTTTTTCCTTTTTGTTGCAGCAAGGAAAGTCGATCTCTGAGAGTAGTCCGCGTTGAGCTAGACAACGGTCAGCGGCTGGTAGGTCTTCGTTACCCAGAGCAACTCATGCCGGAAGCTACATTGTTTCTGAAGGAGCAAAAGTTGCTCGATGCCGTTATAGTAAGTAAATATTTATTTGTATAAAGAAAAGTGTAAAAAATTGTCATCACACACTTTTGGCCAAGCACTCGTGTTAAAGAACAGTTCCCGACCGGTCCTCAATTTTAGCAGCGTTGAACGATTGATAACCACACTCAGTCATCATCAAGAACTCCTCTTAACCTTAAGTCCCAAGAGTGACCAACATTAATTTTCTCCTAACAATAATATTTAACAATTATTCCTCTCGCCTTCATGGCCTCTGAGTCAATAGCCCATGAGGCCGAAGGCCAAATGGGCTATCGACTTAGAGGCCATGAGGGCGAGAGGAATAATTTTTTTTAGTAAAATCCAACTAGCTGGTCAAAAATATCGAGACAAAACAGGTTTAGCTGGTTAAAGCTAGACTTTAATCCTTTTTTTGCCACCAAAACGCCCGCGCTTTTCGCTGCTAGTGGGCTATAACATATAGCCTAGTAGTAGCTCAACCAATCAGAACGCAGCATTGATAATAGACCACTAGTTGGATTTTACTAAATAGATTTAGCCAGGGCTAAAAGCGAAGCTCTGATTAATAATACTTATAAACAAATGAAAATGGCATCAAGTGTAATAGATCTAACTAGCAAAAAAAAAAAACAAATTGCACGTGCAGCACACTTTTTTTTCTAATTAGCAAAAAAACAAATTTGCACGTGCAGCACGCTTTTTGTCTTTCCTTTCCGTTGTTTTGCACAACTACAACGCTGTTTTGTTGGACTAAATCGTCAAACTTCCTAGTTACACATTATTTATATGGAGGAATTGTGCTTACCCAATATTTTGTCTCCTGTGTTCATGTTCGCTTTTAGTTTTCACTGCCCCTCATTTTCACCTTGCTGGGCGTTCCTTGCTGGCCGCTAGCATTTCTCATTGTCTCACCGTCGCTTTGAATTTTTATGTTTCTCTTCCTACAAAATTCGGCTGTAGCTCTTTCTCTGTTATCCACGTGAATGTAAACATCAAAAATAACATCGAAAAATACGTGACCTTGTACTTCTCATTTAGGGCAAAATGTTGGCTTAGGGGAGGGGTAGGTGGGCAGTTTCCCAGAAGCGTGTAATGATCCATAATATCAATACGTAACCAAGAGAAAAGGTTATAAGAATTAATAAAATGTAACCAAAATTTGATTATTTACAAATTCTCTGTTCTAATTTTGTAAAGACATACGTGAAGAAAAAGTCTGGAGATTTTATTTGTCTGTGTATACTGGGTTTTCGTAGTACGCAACAGAGAATAAGTTTTATTTTAACTTCGCAGCATGATCTTGTTACTTATCTGATATTTATTTCAAATTATTAATAACCTGCGAGTTCAGCCTTCTCTCATTGCCCCCGTTTCTGGGGACGTTAGCGAGAGTCTGGTTAAAATTTTTATCGTGCTTTGCTACTGCTTCTAGGCTTCAACTTTGAACCTTGTTAGGTATTGTTTTGACTTAAACGATTATGTTTTTTTTGCTGTTGTTTTTTTTCCTTTATTTTCTAGGACAAACAAAATGGTGTTTTGAGTTCAACAGAACCTTCTCTTAGACAGCCATCAAAAGCCAGCCGAGCGTTTGAGGAAGCGGAAACTCCCATCAACCAAAGGACGTTAACTAAGGCTACTACTCCTCCTGTAACTATAAAGAATTTCTTTAAACCGAAGACTGTTGAACGATCACCTGAGAGTAATAAAAGTGCATCAGAACAGCAGGATGTTAAGGAAAAGAGCGGGGAAAATGACTGCAATGAGATCGAAAATCAAGAAATCGAGAACAACGCCAAAAACAGCACGGATGACAAACAAGCAACGACCAAAGTAAGTAAGAAGGAAGTCAAATCAATATACTTTAAATCGAAGGGAAGAGAAAAGGAAGAGCTCCCGGAAAATAAAGGACCTTTCAAAGGTGCTGCTAAGTGTAATGGTCTTGTGCGCCACCTTTCGGAAACCCTTTCGAAAGAGAACCTTCAAGGAAAGAACTCTTTGAAACGAACTAGTTCTGAAGCGCCGTCAAGGGCGATTAAGCGACAGAAGCAATCGAGCATTTTGTCTTCGTTTGGGAAATGGACTGACAAAGATTCTAAGGACCAAATGGAGAAGGAAATTCTCTGCCCTGTTTGTGGGGAGAAAATTGCGAGCGGATTGAAAAATTCTGATATCAACGAACACATCGATAATTGTCTTATTAAATCATAATGAAAATGAATACTAGTTATTTTTGAATCACAATATAACACAATTAGCCATAGTATTGTTACGTGTAACTGATATAAGTTTAGTTATGAAGTTATAACACGTTCATGGTTCTGCAGTTTCTTTTCAAAGAAACAAGCTTATGCTATATCCCTCTGATTCTGCACTAAAACCTGTGTCAATCCGTGGATTTACGCTCCCACGTACAGTCGAACTCTGCTTTGCGGACACTCGCTTAATGCGGACACCATCATTATTACAGACGGTTTTCTTTGTCCTTGGGGAAAGAAAGTCCTTACATTTCCTCTAAAATTTGTCGATAACTTTCTATTCCTTGAGGACGGCTAAAAATTTGTAGATGACCGTTCCATTCGCGTACAATTTTCGAAGTTTATCTTATAAATTCTCCACGATTTTCTGAAATTTTATTTTTCACATTTTACTTTCCAAGTTAGACTGTTTTTCGAAGAAAAAAGGAACCTAAACTTTTCGGTTTCAAAAATGTGATGACGAGAGGAATCAGAAAATTTCTCTCTTTCGTAATACGTCAAATGTCTTCTAAAATGTCGGAAAAATAATACTCAAGTCTTAGTAATTTCGAAAAGACTCAAGTTCCCCAAGGATGACCAAACAGATACAAAGTTTACGCGCCGTTTAGAATGCATTTCTAGATATCTAAAAAGTACTCTGGTTAGCCTAAAAAGGAAACCATCGTTGGGTGCCCCGATTAATAACTTATTCCTTTCTCTAAACGGCAAAACCAGCCAACAAAATGAGAAAACGTGTACTAAATATGATTGATACCCCAATACATTCTAAATGGCAAAAAAAGCTATAATTTTAGGATAAGACAAGAATTTTGTCAGCCTCAAATCGGCAGAAAAGTAAGAATTTTTACTTATTTATTTGCCAGAAAAACAAACATAATGATATACATACAGACATGCAATATATTATAAAAAATGTTATTTAAAGATAAAAGAAGCGTAAATTGTAAGTAAAAGAATTTAAAGTATTTTTCTGGCGAGAAAGCTCAAACAGAAGCCTTGGGGCTTATTATACGAAGAATATTCAGTCCGTGGGTCAGAAAATAACATTCTAAAAAAAGAGTGTTTTAGTCGATAACACAAGCGTCAATTTTTGTTGTCGACAAACCACAACTCTTCTTTCCTCGTCTGTGTGACAATCTTTGACAAGTAACGCTAATATCATCGCCCCTTTCTAGACAAATAAAAAAACAAAAAATCTTTTAGAGTTTACAAATGCAAATTCCCGCACATTGCGGTTTACTAAGTTGCAGCTTACTATTTGTAAGTAACTTGTAAGAAAATAGTAATCGAAATCTTTGGATCACAGAACTCTTTGACAGTTTTGTTAAAAATCCCAAACTGTCGGTAACCTAGGATCGTTGCTATTTAGAGAGGTCATGGTCTCAAAAGTTAATACCCACTTCGAGTCCTTAGTAACTGTCAAGCGTGATCATTCGACCAATGAGTATTGAAAACCAAATTATTTTTTGAAATGATTTTTGGTTTTGCCTTTTGAGCTAATGCGCTCATACGATTAAAAACGACAAAGTCAGGGACGAAGAATTATACCCATATTTTTCTATTCTTGACTTTTATCGTCAAAAATTGAAACTCTTCCTCGTTCCGTGGTTTCTATTGTCGGTCGCGTGATATGCGAGATCAGGCAATAAATCTGAGACACACGAACCATTAGACGAACTTGAATAAATTAGTCTCGCCTAAATAGAAGATGGCGCTCACGCTTAGTTCGCTGGTAACCAATGTGAAATCGGCCTTCCAAAACTACTCAGGTTCCATAAGAAACACAACTGTCGCCTTGCTGGTGTTTGGCCTGAATACCGTCGTACAGAGTGAAGATTTCTTCCAGTGTCCTCCAGACAACTTTGTTTTCTACGCCAGCTGTTCCTTCATCATTCCTGCTTTGTTTTTGTTTATCGCGACGAGTTTTCTTCACAGCGGATTTTGGGACCATGTTTGTGGATGCTGTTATTACGAAGGTCAGTACAAGCGAGGAGCAAAACGGTACTGCTGTTGTTTGTTTCCAAGATGGCCTTCCAGCAAAGCTCTTGTGGAAATCGTATTCCAAAGTTCTCTGTCTGGGTTCATGTGGATTTTCTGGGCACTCTTGCAGCCGGACTATTACATGTGCGCCGCTCTCGGAGGAACGAAAGCAGCTAAATTAATCAGTGCCTCAGCCGCGCAAAAGTTACAAATCGAAGCAGATTATGCGAACGCGGGAAAAAATTCACAGACGGCAGCGTTGCTGTTGCTAGCTGGAGCGTTACTTACAGCTTTCATTGTTGTTTCAGTTGAGCGATGCTGTTATCAGCGTGAGTTCGGCACTTTACCGAGTTCGTACCAGTATAAGAAGCTCGAGTCAGAAGCTGCTGTGGAGGCCTTTAAACTGAACATGGAAAAACTCGCGAAAGGACAAGGCAAGAGGCGTGCCGACATGTACTTTGCTACCATGAACAAGAAAAACCCGTCTGACATCCTTAAGAGTGCTTATGAAAATCTCGTGGCTGTGAACAAATTTGACGAAGCGTTTCCATCTTTGGAAGATTATCACGAGCTCCAAGCACAGGCGGCTATGGGCATCTCCAGGGATGATAGAGTCTCCAAGACAGAATTGCTGCGCAGAGCCAACATGCCATGCATTAAGGCACTCATCATGAAACCAAAGCTGCGGGGGGTTGGACATGTGGTTCGAACGGACGACGCGCGCCTCCCGAAGATGGTCTTCTTCTCTGACCTGGCCACCGGTGCGCGTAGCATTAGACACCCACTGAAGAGGTTCAAACATGGCGTGAAGCAAAAAACTGAATTGAATTCCATTCTTGGATGAGAAACCCTCACCGCAAACCCCAGCGCCCGGAGAATGGCCGTCCACAAGGGCGTTCAAGGCTTTTTAAAAAGCGGCTGTACAACCTCGACCAGGCCTTTCGGAAGGCCGGGTTCTAGTTGCGCGAAGGCTGCGTCTTAGCGATTGAATCGATCTAAACGGTTTCTTCGAGTTGTTTAGGGTAGGCCATTATAACTGATTTTTTTTTGTAAATTTACTAAGGATGGGGAGTGGAAAGTAACGGACAAAGAACTACTCAGCAGCCAAGCGTCAACAGGAAAAGGTCAAGCGAAGCCTTTCCCCGCCATGCCGCCTGTAATCGGAAAAACAGACGAGGAACTCAGCAGTGACGAAAAATACGAGGAGGAGAGCTTTCGATCTAAACAACTCTTTTTATTTGCTTGGCAAATAGCTAAAGGAATGGTAATTACGTTCTAATTCGCTTCGCTCAAACGAACGTAAATTATTTACCGCTTAAATAACCGCAAACACCAGGCGAAATCAGATATGGGTGGATCGCGTGCGAACCCTAACACTTTAATGAAAAGTAATCTTACAGCATTGGTAAAGGAAAAACAGATAACATATTTAAATATGAGTTAAATACCTAAATGTTTCGTCACACTTAAACGATTACATTCTGTCTCTAAAACGTACATGTCTTTTGCTTCGTCTGTTTTCCACCGCCCATGAAGTTTTAACAACCTCTCAGAAACGGCTTTGGAAGCGTTATTACTGATAACTGCTGTAGCACCCCCTGAACGCAGACTATGTAGGCCATATTCCTTGGGGTCATATCCCAAATCTTTCAAAGTAGTCTTAAATATTTCCCTGCAGCGAGTATAGGATAACTTGCCATTCCTAAGGGTATATCCCGACTTGTTCTTCGTTAATGGCCTGAATAAAGGCAAGTGACTAGACAGATCCAAATTGGCTGCTTCAATATACCTACGTAAGATAGCTACTGGGCAGTATTTGTTCTCTAACTTAGCAATACAAACATAATTGCCCTCTCTATATACATCCGTTTTACTCCTTGGCACAAAAATTTTAACAAAACCATCGCAAAACGTGAGGTGTTTTGGCTGAATATTAGCCAACTCGTTAAAACGAAAAAATCCTGCAAAACCTAAAGAACTTATTGCGGCAATACGTAAGTCCTTTAAAGATGCTTCCTCAGCGCCATGTCTGCCAATAATGCTTCTAATGATAGCAGGGTCCACGGGTTTTTTCTTGTGAACTGGATTGCTCCTTGTCCTCTTGGCGCACTCAATCAAGTTCTTGCAACAAGCGTTATCCAAAGGATTGGGACCATCATCAGGAACAAAGGAATGGAACCATTTCAGCGCAGCATGGACCAAAACCATTGCGGCCGGGGACCTAAGCTGTTGATCTAATCCAAATAGATAAAGGGCGACAACAGAAGAAGAAAATGGCAACTGTAGCGCAATTTTCTGTGACCTACACCACAGTAAAAACTTGTTTATTTCCTTAAGATACTTCTTCGCGGTAGAGTCCGCCCTAGAACAAAGTAAACTACTAAATAAAGAATGAAAATCCGGCCTAATAGCAGGAGGGAGCATACCCTGGGTGCCAGAGACGTTTCTAGCGCGGTTTCCGGTTTCTGTCAAGTCTTTATAGTGACCCGCGCGAAAAGCCTCTGGAGCAGAGCGCTATTGCTTTGATGGCACCGATCCAATCGTTAGCACGGTTAAATCAGTTGGTCCAGATTTTGGACAAGACGGCTGATTGGCTACTAACGACCACCTGAGGGACTCTAAATCTAACAGACGCTACAATTGGTTGACAAGAATAGACCAGCACGTGAAAGAATATTTCCAACTTTGCTGTTGTTGTACTCGCGAGAAGTGTTGTGATGGCAGCTTTGGAAAGTTTTGAAAGAGCATGATAAGAAATTTACTAGAAGGGTTTGACGGTGTAGACAAGCTAAAAGCTATGAGCAAACAAGTGGAGTATTCAAGTTTATTCAACGCAATTAAGCTATTATCACCAATTCAGCTTTTGCAGCAATACGGTTTAAGCTTTACTAATTTCCTATTTCAAACGATTACAACGCATGTTTTGAAATAGTTTGTATTATTCTTAGTAATAAAAGAGGGGTCAGAAGGCAACACACGACTTTTACCTCATGCCAAAATGCTGCTTGTTCCAATGAATTTTTTTCCGTGATGGGTAGATTATGCTCTGGAGAAAAACGTTTCAACTGAGCAAATTTGATTTTTCCCGATTGTTTCATACTGAGAGGTCGTGACACGCATATTGATTTTCTGCGGTTATTGTGTCTGGTCGGCATATGATTTGCTGTTGCAAGAGCATTTTCTTTGACCTCTTTTGAAATGTTAAGCTCTTCAATGCGTCCAAATGAGGGTTTTAGGTTGTTTAATTTCTCCAAAGAGCCTCCTGGATCTGAATAATTATAAGCGATTTTCTTTTTGTCGGTGAAAGTGACGGTTTCCTGCAATGTTTTGTCACGCTGGGCCCAACTCGTTAGCGTTTTTAGCAGGATGTTAAATTCTCCCGGACAGTGATTTTCAGATCCAAATCTCGAAGAATGGATTGCAGCTTAAACTGAAGCTACATCAATTATGGAGAACTTCGATTTGACCCAGTCATGATTGCTCTAAAAGCAATGAATTTTAAACTCGAACTTGTCTTTCTAAGGATAATGTGGGTCTTCGGACATTTCTTCACGTGCCGGCCCACATGATCACAGTCGGAGACTTTCAATCTGATTGGCGTAAATGTAATGCGATAAAAAAGCTCAAAGGTCAACGGGGACGGTAAAAAGCACCGCTCCGTGCCAGAGGTTTTTCTCGCGGCTTCGCCGCTCGTGGCTTCGGCCTTCGGCCAACACCGAAACTTCCCGCCGCACGCGAGAAAAACCTCTGGTACCCAGGGTAGAGGGAGCACCATCCATGCCTTACTTGCAACTACGACCTGCAAGAAAAAATTATATCACCAAAATTTTGCAACAACAGGATAGCGGCTTTAGGAAATGCAACACAAGCGATGATAGCGATTCTAATAAAAGGCCCCATGCCTATGACGCAATGTCCGCAGGCAGCATAATAGAAAGAAACCACAGCGACCTCCCTGGGGCAAAATAGGCATGCAAAGTAGCTCCTAAACAAAGCCATAGCGAAAAACCTACAAAGAAAACTAATAACAAACGCGTAAAAACTGCATATATATCCTAAAGGCGACTTGCTCTAGCAGATCATTTAAATCCCCCAAAAAGGCCCCATAAACGACAGGCAAACGAATATAAAATAGGCAACAACCCTTTCTGGGACACAGTCACCTCGAACACTTAAATAACCTAACAATCGGAAAAAACAAAAAGTTACAGCCTTGATAAGAAAGGTAAGTAACCTAAACCAACAAGAATAACGCAGCTCAACCTTGTGAAAAAACCTTGGCCAGAATAGCAGGTTGAGTTACGATTCGCAAACCAGTGTCAAAAAAAAAAAAAAAAAAGCGACACAATTTTCCATAGGTGAACAGGTCTCTCATTGTCGAGAGAACTCGAAAACTCGTTCTACTAACAGAAATCCAAAACGACAGAAATCTTCTCCGACGGACGCAGTCGTCCCTTCACATGACCAGTGTCATATACTCTGGACACAGCTGTCCATGCTATTAATGACCAGTGTCAAATCTTGCAAATACCAGTACTAAAAGCTAGTTCAGAATGACCTGCTCGAAGGGCAATAAAAGTTGGATAATCCTTACAAAAATTAAAATCTAAGCGCGACAACCTCGCCTGTAAAACGAGGCGAACCAAGGAATGAACTTAAATTTCTTCCCAGGGTGAGAGCTCGGAATGCATTCAGCGTAAAACATCCTTTCATGAACCACCGATATTTACTAGTCAGAAGAGGCCAAAAACTCGACGAAGGCCATAATGGGACTACAAGAGTAGCCATTGCTTTCTGTAGGCTCAAATAATGGATAACGCGGGCGACAAGAGAAACTGGAGGAACCACTAAACAGTTCTCGGAACTTAACTCTTGGGCAAAGAAGTCAATTCCTGACGTACCCGGATTCCAGAAACGCGAAAAGAATCTAGGAAGCTTAGCTGTATAATAATTGGCAAAACAGTCAACTGTATGTGGGCCCCATAACTCCTCCAAACTTCGAAAAAGATCATGCGT